TGTTCCGCAGCGTTACAAATCTGTATTATTTCGTCCGCTTGACTCTCGACCTTCAAACAGTGTTGATGTCCAAAGTCATTTCGTAACGGTACACTGATGTTACGTATATTTCATGTTCCTGAATTATTGCGATGCATTAGTCGCCTCATATTTCATTTATTCCTTCATTGTACTTTTCTGAGATCGTCTGGCCTATTTTTATCTTTTCGTCGAATTATTTCCCGTGAACACGGTGTAACTTGATCGTTGCGCTGCGCGATATCTGTGAGATACGTGGCGTGCAATGGTGCCAATGTATTCTGAGCTCCTGGCACACGCGGTACGAGTCACGGCATTATTTTCAGCCGTGTCTATGAGAAGAGCCAACAGAAAGTGTAGAATCAACTGTCACTATTTCTTATCAAAGAGAAGATGATATGTAGGAGTGGTCGGTACGGAAAGGGAAAAAATGCGAACTTTGTAAAAGAAATACGACAGAATTTCTAAATATTTTTGTGAAAAATGTAAAATATATGTCTGTTAGGAACGTGCCAAAATCATTTGTGGAAATTATATTTAATATTACTTAATAAGAGAGATATTTTTTTTAATTTTTGCGTATTTATTATCAACTTTTTCCTTTCGCACCATAAACATTTACATACAATTTCTGCAGTGTAGGGTTCATTAACAATGGCATTGGGGGACATGCATACTCTAAATAAAATATATATTTCAATAAATAGAGCTTCAGATCATTCGCATTCACAAAAAAATGTAGCTATATCTGAGATATACAATGGAGGCACTGGCGCGAGTGTATATATTACGGGCACCCCCGGGTTAAGCATGTCAAAACTAATTACGTATCACCCACTTCCCCTTAATGTAAACACTTAATCCACTCTTAACTGAAAATACATGCACCGTTTTGGTCATCCGTAACCAGTACCAAACGTTATATTAGTTGTTTACCAGAGGGCGCTGCTTTGATTGCAAAAAAAACTTGTCTTCAATTTGCTTCAAGGTTAGAAGCGCTTTAGCCACTCTATGTAGAGTATTCTAGCTCATTGCAAAATTCCTACAAGACCATACTTTGCACCGCCTCCTCCATACATTCCTCATATACACAATATGGGTGCCTGCTTCCCTCTTCACAAATGAATGCTTCATGCTCGCGATCATAGGACATACTGTTTTGTTTCCCGCTCGCCGTGACAACATGTATTCTTTCACTGTTCTTATTATAAACGTATTAATTAACGAACTATTTACAATGTTTTAATGCCGTTCTTTCTGTGCAAATAAAATCGAGATTTTCTGGCTCATAACACCAAGTATTGTAATGTCTTGTTCCACTGCGATGCCTCCTTCACTGTTAGAACACCATCCCACTATCCGAAGACGCTTTTACTCGCCTAATAACATACGAGATCCTTTCGGTAGCGGCATAGCCCTAGCAGCTAACGAAACTCATCTCTTTTACGCGCGGCGAGTCGGCTGTCGCTCGACTGTCACTCGACTGTCGCTCGACTGTCACTCGACTGTCGCTCGGCTGTCGCTCGACTGTCGCTCGACGGTCGCTCGACAGTCGCTCGACAGTCGCTCGACTGTCGCTCGACTGTCGCTCGACTGTCGCTCGACTTGTCGCTCGACTTGTCGCTCGACTTGTCGCTCGACTTGTCGCTCG